TTTTTTTTTTTTAAGGGAAAATTAAAGATTGTTATACTAACGAAAGTGTAATGTACAATCAAAGGCACTATGTCTCTGTGACAATTAATTCTTCACAATATAGAAAAAGATTAAAAATAGGTACATCTAAAGGAGTAATACACTTTTATTTAATAATTTTATCTTTTATTATAAAAATGTCGCAGTTGTAGTAATATGATGTAACGATTCTTCTTGATGAAGTTAGAAGCAATTATTATAGATTGTACATCTTTGGAGGAGATTAATGGTGGATTTAATTTATATTCCGGTAATGTAATTTGATTGGCATGTTGCAATTTGGAAAAAAATTGACAATTGTGACTTGTCACAATTTGGTAATGTAACTTACACAGTTTTTGAAAATGCGAGTTAGTCGTTTTTAAAATTTTTGCTAAAATGTTTGCCAATAGATGCTGGCACTAATGAGCACTATAAAGCCTGATTCCTTGGACGTCGACAATGATAAGTTCAAATCCATCATGAAAATATCAAGCAAAGGTTCCATCGAACAGAGGAGGGATCGTTCCGGAGGAAGCGATGAGGACTCTGTGAAAACTTTGCAACTTTTACGAATTAAAGGATTTCATCGATTGTTACCTGAAGGTTTGACTTAGAGCTTTCATTCTGCAAGAAATAACATAATGTGTTTCCAATTCCACCCTTCGAAAAACTCAATTAATTTCAACCTGATGTTGGCATGAACAACGTGATGTCGATTTTTTTGCAGGAATTAAGGCGTTGGTCAATTACTGCCGGTACTTACAAGAATTGTCATTGTCTTATTCATTGCTTAGCGACGAATTGCTATTAGCCTTGAGTTCTGAGAAACAGATGCAACTGGAAACTCTGCGATTGGAAGTTCATCCAGAAACAAAACCATTTCCGCGAGTCAGCGACAAAGCTTGGTTTACCTTTTCCAATCACTTGCCAAACATAAATCTCATGCTGTGAGTGCATTTCTACATTAATTGTAAACATTCGTGATCCGATGATGGATTTCTAACACAGTTTAAAAGAATTGACGTGAATTCGTTGTTTTTTTTTTTTTTTTGTGATATGTATAAATACAAAGTATGCTTGTGTAACAGGGAAAATGTTTATATTTTAATTTATATTTTATCGGTGCATTTATGCAGTATATTATACACATGTAATATGTGAAATGTAAAATTCATTCCATAAAGTGTTATCCTTTTGGTGTTTCTTTTTATGGTATGTAATATAACGTTTCATTTTGTACAATAAATTAGATTGTCCTACATGACGAACGAAGACGATCAGAGCCCATTATTCGCGCCGTACGTTCCCATAACGCACTTATACTTCGGGGAAGCACCGTCGGAAGCAACTATGTTACGTATCGGCTATCAATGCCCCCGGTTGATCGAGCTGGTAATTGCAGCTTATGGACCAGGTTTACTCGATCACGCATTACTCTCTGTCGCTCAAAGATGTCCACGTTTAAGCGCCGTGGGTTTGGGTGATTGCGAAATCACGTACGTAACTCGCTAATTAAATTTCTCCATCCAATAATCGAAGCTCGAGTTTTATAAAACCTAAACGTAACAGTTTCAACGGATATCCGCGAGATATCTCCCCTCTCGAATTCTTCAAAATATTCGTAGCTGCCTTTAACGACAATTACATATGCATTTGTACCTTTATATTTCAATATTATCGCGCTGTTGATATCTCCTCTAGTTAATCCACGACTGAAATTCAAAATACTTAAAATGATGGTAATATATCTGTTTTCCTTAACACGCTCAGTTGCTCAGGATTGTTGGAATTTGTTACACTCTGTGCAAAACGTTTGCGAATATTGTACGTTTGGGAAACGTCGTTGATTGAGGATTCAGAACTTGACGTCACAAAACTGTCGAAGAATGTGTCATTGCTACTTGGTCGTACTTGGGTACCTGAATATATACCATTATGTTGAAACTTAATGAATGACCGAAGCAATTTGTTACGATGGAGATTCACTTAATGGCCGACAACAGTTTGCGCATGTAACCAAAAGTGTGCGTAAGTGATATAATGAGACATTACGAACATGTATATCTTCGTCCACTTTTTATACATGCATACATATATATGTATATATATATATATAAACACACATACACACTATGTAAGAAACCATATAATTTGTAGCATAGATATTATATGCACATTGTAGGTAATCAATAATCTTAGGATTGATGTTTACAAAGAAAAAGACTTTTTCCGAAGACAACGTTTTAAATATATGATTGAAGTAAAAAAGAATCTTCGTGTTTTTTGATCCATCGTAATGCTGAAAATGGGAAGATTTAACACTTGTTCGAAGAAGAATGCGGGGAGAAATGTTATCATCATCATCATGTTTCTCATTGATCACAATGTAAAATCAGTACGATTGGATGCGATCCATACGTACAAAAAGAAAAACAAGAGCGAAAAAACCTCATATTGTAAAAATTGCTCGTGTCTGTTAATACCAAAAATATAAACTTTATTAGATTATAATGGTATCTCTTGCGTGTAGTGTATATAAAATAAAATAATACCACTACTTATTTACCAACCGTCACGCATGATAGATATGTATAATATACAATAATTGATATAGTCTATAATGTTATTGTAATACAACAGAGTATGTACATTATTTCTACATTATAACACAATAAATTGGGTATACTTAGCAATTACAATATTTAATAACGTTAACAATTAATATCCTTAATATTCACTTGTTTTTCAATTTACGCAATTATTCTGTTTCATTTTTCCTTTTTTCTTTTTTTTTTTTTTCACATTTTATTCACGCTATTCTAAGGATGCGAGGCGCTCAGTCTTGTATCCCAACCGATATATGCCAATCTCTTGTCCTATTAAGGCCGATTAAAAATCTATCGTTTCAAACAGTTTACGAAAATTTCAGTTAAGTTTTCGATAAATCATATTTTAATCGGAAACAAGAGTCAGTATCATTTTTTATCGCAACAATTCTAACATTATGATACATGACACGTAGACCGTGTCGAATAAATACTATTATTTTATATGAACATCATAATATTTTCGATAATTCTTTTAAAAATATGATAGATTAAATTATTCGATATATATAAAACAACATGCTATAAGATTGTTACATCATCGATTACAAAACGCATTAATTGCTCATTAGCATTCATTAAACAACTGATGAGTAGTAAGCGTACACAAAACTAACTTAACACTTAAAGTAACAGAGCCCTTTGAACACACTTATATTACATATTAAAATGGTTATCTCCCTGCTAATATCAATATAAATATTTTAATGAGAAATATCGCGAAAACTTTAGGAACATGTTGAAAATTATTCTAATGTAAATGTATGACTTTTATTTTTTATTCTATATTATTATCAACATACTCATTACAGATATTTAAAATATGTTGTTGAAATAAAATTTATTCGAAAAAGGGCTCTTGTACACGCAATAAAATATTTCCATGAAAATTAAAATGCAATGATTAATTTTATTACTTTATGCTTTTGCTTTTGATCAACAATTTTTGTTCATGACAATTTCTTGAAATTTACTAGATGAATAATACGATCACGTTTTATTCACAATAAAAATTCAGAATGAGATAAATAACATAAGATAAAAATTATTTAAATGAAAACGTAACGTTCTAATTATTTTTCGTCCATAGCTTTACTCGTTTTACATTTTTTACCCTTTATGTTATCTGTATACGCATGAATTTGTTTACAAATAATTCAATGTTGACAAATTTTATGTTAACTAAAAGTCAGACAGTTACGTATTAGTCAAAACTTAGCTATATACACGATAAATCTCTTGAGCATGATCTGTACAGTGTTAACAAATCCTAAAACTTGGAGTACTATTTACATGAAAGATTTTCCTTAGCAACGAGTTCCGAATTTACATTTACAACACTTTGCAGGAAAATCTATTTAAAATATAATATATTACAAGTTAGCTCTGTACAGATCACGATACGCCGAAGCCTAGTTTCAATTTTAAATTGAACAGTTCACAGCTGCATACAAAACATGTCTAAGATATCGTTAATTTTTTTAGCACCAGCTTAGGCATGTTTACCATCATTTTACATCTCCTACTTTTGGCAAAGTAATAATAATGCTATTGTTTCGTAACGTTTACGAATAATAGGCTTAACAAAATAGGTCGGCAATTATCCTATGTCATTATAAAGGAGCAATCAAACAAATGGACGGGTTGGTTGCTTATTCTACGCATAATTTAAGTGTTTGGATACACATAAAATTGATGCAATTTTAAGAGACATAATGATTTTGAGCACTGTGGCTGCTAAATTTGCTTCAGGGCTTTTTTATGCAGATGCTTTTAATATTCAACTCTCTCTTAAGTAATTCGTTTTAAAAAATCTTTTCAAGACCTTTCCTATCATGTTCACTGTGATCATATAAAGCTTAAGCCCCGTGAATAAAATGGATCATAATTATGATTGCCTTGGCGCATATGTTTAACAACAACAAGATTTTCATTACGATATATCATATTGAAAATAATAGTTTCCCCTTCTTTTATAGTAGATTCCGCTATTATTTACGCACCTGTCCATTATTTATTAAGATATGGCATCTGGTACAAACCAGTCATATCGATAAAAATATCTCACCGAATAGACCCTGTAACATTTTTTCAAAATATTAATTGTATTATTAAGTCCTTAAATTGACATTAATTTTACTACTTATATTTAAATATATTTTTTCATACCAAAACAATACAATCAATCCGGCATATCTATAGAAATTATGGGTACAACAGGTTTCATTAGGTCGACTTTTTTAACATGTTTTTCATTCTTTTCTGAGACCATTGGTTCTGATGGTGGTTGGTCCTGGTCACTTCTCGGTTGATAAGAAATATTACCATATTCTTGGAGTAGTGGACATAATCCCAATAGAAAATGACAAAAATCTTTTCTAATACCAAACCACCCTAGAATCATTAATAATTTCTTTTATGTAATAATAGTGCCATTGTAAAATATTTAATTCTACACTAAACATATATTTAATATTGATCTCTTACATCTGTTTCCTCCTTTTGCATCAAATGACATAAAAATAAGAGTTATATGAGATATTAAAAGCGGCATTGCTACAGTTGTATAATTTAATGAAATATCTCCATCCAATTTATTTGCTAATAGTACCTATAATGAATTAAGTCATTCAATAGCATTATTGAAATTTATTAAAAAAAAAAAATCTTAAAATTATTGTAATCCTTACTTGGAACACTAGGATTGGAACCACAAGAAATGTATATGCCAATGCTGAGTTCAAAGATGTCCGCCTTTGTCTGGCATTAATCTGTGGAGTTCTTAATAAAACAGCAGCAAAGACTATTGCATACAATACTGCAACTAAAGATAATGATAAAAGTGCCCAAAGGGGAGCAAACACTACTTCCCAGCTCCATGTGATGATACCATCTAGTCTTAATGCCAAGAAAATAAACTGCAGTATATTTACTGCACAGAATAATTCAAGTTCAAACGATCGGTCATGCTTTGCAGCCCATATACATACCTAAAGAGATAAGAACATTTTTTACAGACATAATTTATATCTTTCAGATACACAATTGAAAATTACTTACAACTATTGATACTGCGGAGATAAAGATAAGTGGTATAAATACAAGCATCCAAAGATGTCTTTCAGATTCTAATTTATCACATACTAACAATTCAAACATTAACAGAATCAAATGTAATGCCAATGTAATCAACATTGCTTTATAATGTATATAAGCATCTCCTTCCAACCTTGCATGTGGATGCCTCCACCAAACATAACTTCCAATAGTAGCACCCAAAATTACCATGCTTTTCCAAAACCATATTGGAGTAAATACAGTCCAATAACTCCATTCTATGAAACCATCCAAACGAAGCGCAAATAAGGTTGTAAATATCATCAAACAGGAGTGTACCAAAAATTTACTAAAATATAAATTAAAACTGATTAGTATATTTCATTGCATACAATACTAAATAAACATTTTTGAAATTGTATTGAAGATGTATTACCAATTTTATTAAAACTGATTACTAATTGAATTTATTATTTTAAATATAAATTTCATTGTTCTGCCAATGTGATGACAAAATATATACAATAAGTGGATAAAATACTGAAATATTGAATTAATTTCGGTAATTCCCGACAAAGGGTATAATCTTGTAAGAACATGTCGAACAAAGCAACAGTTATTTGTCTACAATAATCATTTGACCCAATTAAAAAATGTATCCCAAGTATGAATTAAAAATATCAATAAATCATTATTTGAGTTATATGAAAAGGTAAAATGTACAAATTAAATTATATAACTTTATAGAAAAAAAGAAAAGAAAAAATTATATAAAAAATTTAACGTTACGAATCTTCATATGCGTGTAGTAGTAACCTCATACTTTTGTCAATTTAATATAGTACAAAAAATAAAAAATATATAAAAGTCACCTTATATTACACGAATTCATCATAACTCGTAAATTAAAAAGAACTTTTAGAAAAATCCGCTATGATTTTTACCTTGGATTGAAATCCTGAAACAGTGTTTGCAGATTCATGATTATCAGAACGGTGGTTCTATAGGCCAACTTGAAGTAAATTCTCGTGGTGACCACCTCGTGCACATATATTCCGCTGAAAATCGTTTCATTTACCAAAGAAATTTATCGCGGAGAGAGGAAGAACGGTGGGTTCTGCATTTGCATACGTCGGGGGAAAAATAAGACCCACCGTCTTGCATGCGAAAATTCGAATTGCACTGAAATTAGCTGGAGGCCAACAGCTGTCGACATTCGATATATCAACTAAAACTCAAACTTCAGCAGAAAACTTCGTGCGTCTAAAAATATATAAACTGCAATATTTGTGCATTTACAGTCCAATACTTCAATGCATTTACAATTATTCGAAATACAATTTCTTTAGATACTTCAGAAACTTTTTATTTTGAAATTAATATCCATCGAGCTAACAAATAAACTTATAAATACATTTACATTATATTATTTATAAATTATATTATTATTGTCGTATATTATATTGTAGTATTAATAAATCGTATATTATATGGGAGTATTTTCTTTGTAGCAAAGTATACTTTCCATTCTTACTATATGTGCATTTTAAAAGTTAATGTCGAATTAGGTAATAATAAAGATGAGTTCATCTCTGGTATTTGTTAATATTTTTATTAATATTTAAGATTCATTGTAAAGAACTCAATCGAAGATATAAATGAAAACTTAAGAATGTAATTCATATTCAAATAAAACATCATATGTTATTATTTAAAAAATTTTATTCAAAATAGAAGCGAATAAACGTTTCAACCAATCATCGATAAACTATAGAGTGCTCTGTCTGTTTCCGCTTTAACGTGAACGTGGTCTTTCAGCGTATATTTTCAACGATGGCGGTCGGTAAAAATAAGGGGCTTTCAAAAGGAGGTAAAAAAGGTGTTAAAAAGAAGATGTAAGTAAATTATAATATTCCCTCGATATATTTTAGATACTTCTTATATACGAAATATAATTTTTAGTTCAGTATTGCTAAAGATGCTTTATACTGGAACAGATTCTATGCATCTGACATCCGGACGTATACATCTATTTTATGTTTAATATTTTGATTTTGTCACTATTCATTTATTTATGTCGTTATTTATAATCTTGAAGCATTATATGCTTTATCTAGATATAATTTTTAATCGCATAAATTATTTAAAAATTTATACCTTAATAACCTCATTTTATTAACTTGTTTTTAAATAATGTTATGTTAATTGAATTGTGGTAAACTTGATGCTTGATAAATTAAATAAATTGAATTTTAAATTGAAATTTTTAAGTATGATGAAACCATTATACTCATCTCAAAAATATGACCAACCTAATCTAATTTTTCTTTTATCACAGAGTTGATCCTTTCACCCGTAAGGATTGGTACGATGTTAAAGCACCATCTATGTTTACCAACCGTCATGTTGGCAAAACATTGGTCAACAGAACGCAAGGGATAAGTAAGATGCATTTTATTAATAAAAATTTTGCAACTCCAGCTCCATAGAAGTTTTATTGGTACTTTATATGGCGTGTCCTGTTGCATAAAAAAAAGCAGATAGTTACCATGATATTATTCTCATAAAGTGATAATATTAAATTTTATCACTGCCACATTTTTATTGCTATAGCATTATACAGTATGTATTTTTGTATTGTTATTTTTGTTTTTATTAATTTTACATTTATTATTTTACAGAGATAGCCTCTGAAGGTCTGAAATATAGAGTATTTGAGGTCTCTTTGGCAGATTTGCAAAATGACGGAGATGCAGAAAGATCCTTTCGTAAATTTAGGTTGATTGCTGAAGACGTTCAACATCGTAATGTGTTGACCAATTTCCATGGTATGGACTTAACTACAGATAAATTGAGATCCATGGTTAAAAAATGGCAAACCTTGATAGAAGCTAATGTTGATGTAAAAACCACTGACGGTTATCTCCTCAGAGTTTTCTGCATTGGTTTTACTAACAAAGATCAATTGAGCACCAGAAAAACGTGTTATGCCCAACATGCACAGGTTAGTATGACAATATATGACTAATATTTTTAATATTTGCAATTTAAAGTGCATGAAAGTGGTATACACGCTTTTGTGTTTCACAATATTGCATATAGTAATAGGCACTTTCTTACCACACTATTTTTGTACTAAAAAATAGTGATATTGTATGTTGCAACATTTTTAATTAAAATATGTAAGTTATGAATTTATTATTCATCTACAGTTATTTATGTATACATGTGTTTTTATGTTTAGGTCAAGAAGATCAGACAGAAGATGGTAGACACAATTACAAACGATGTTACAAAGAGCGATTTAAAGGGCGTGGTCAGCAAGCTCTTACCAGATGCTACTGCCAAAGACATTGAAAAAGCTTCTCAAGGAATTTATCCACTACACGACGTCTATATTCGCAAGGTATATAAATAAAAATGATCATTTCTATAGGTGTAATTAATAATCTGAGTCGAAATAACAACATTGCATTGTATTGCAGGTTAAAGTATTAAAAAAGCCACGTTTTGAATTGAGCAAACTCCTGGAACTTCATGGTGATGGTGCTGCTAGCAAAAGTGAAGAAGTAGGTGAAAGTGGTTCAAAGGTTGACAGACCAGAAGGTTATGAACCACCTGTACAGGAATCTGTTTAAGGGAGTAATTCTCTTTAAATATTTGGTATAAATAAAATCCACTTTCTAGTGAGAATATTTTATTCTTTTTATTTACCACTAACTACATTGAAAAAAAATGAAGATATTTGACATTAATATGAGATAAAGTGTAATTTAACGAAATTATTTATTTGTAAATATTTATTGAAAAAATAATTTCATAATACAATGTCTATTATCAATTATATTAATTAATTCAAAAGAAGATATGAGATGGTAAAAAAAAATTCATGTTTTATTTAGTCATTAAAATTTAAGGTACCAAGAACATTTAAAACTAGATAATATCAATGATTAATGTTGCGAATTCCGAGTAACGAATAACCAACTTCCTATTAATAACGCTTTAAAACTTTCACTCCAAGATGCCAATATATAGATTAATAACATAAAAAAGAGTATTTTCGTAATTACATCAACCCAATACATGCTGCAACAAAAGTATAAAAATTCATTAAAATTAAACTTCACAGAATCAATGTGTAAATCTTACATTCTCAAGTGTCTTCGAGCAGCTGGCAAAGTTTCTGGTGGTTCATTCAGAATGTAAATTCTTGCCGCTCGTATACATGTTTCAAAATATGCATCTATATCCATGTCTTCTCCATGTAGTTGATATTTCTCGTATTCCACAGGATTAAATTTACTTCTTACTTCAAATATATTTGCGTTTTCAAAGTCCCATTGATTGTTGGCATAATATTCAAATACTTCAAAACCTTTTTGTATTCGGCGTTGTACACGACACATACTGTTTATAGTAAGAGTTTTATATCCTTTAATATCGTCAAAGTGTTTTGATTTGGAAATGATTGGATATTAATTATAATTTAATAGGTGCAGTACTTAGATGTACTTACATTGGTTTGTAGCCTGCAAGGAAAATAAGTCCGTCTATAAGATACGCAGGTATCATATGGAAAAGTATAACACATATATTATGTATGAGTCTTGATTTTTTCATGCTACCACCTGGATACCAAACAACTCCATTTAAAGGTACCTTTTCTGTTATTTTTCGGCCTCTGGCGATGATCTCAGCCCATGATATCTAAAGTTTTTCATATTAAAACATTAAATTGTTAGTCATTCAGAATTATTATTCAATTACTTTTATTAAAAGATAATACACCTTAAATTCACTACTGCTTGTAAGATTGTAAACTCTTTTTTCATGATCCTCGCAATATATAAAATTCCAAGAACTGGCAAGAATTGCGTTTACTGCAATATCAACAGGGAGATAATCTGCATAACCACTGTCATTACAATACATTGTTCGAATAACACCTTTACCAGCGCCAATTAAAAGTCCTGTTGGACCATTGATATTATCTGTCCATCCTGGTATTGGCTCTTTCCATATAGGAATAACTATGCTTGGTCTAAGAGATAAAATAATTCTTTGTGATTAAAAATATTTTGTTCTCTGTAACACTTATGCATTTATTTAAACCTTAATATAATTGCTGGAATATGAGGCATTGCTTCTTCAACCAGGCTTTCTGACAAAGCTTTGGTGAAAGCATATGTATTGGGAAGATGTCCTAAAATTTTATCTGTCATAGCTTCAACTACATCATCATCCATCCATTCCACACATTTAATTATTTTATGAGGATCTGCAGGTGGTGGATATGGTTTCTCTCCTAAAACCTAAAACAAAATATATGTTACATCAAATACATATAATTATAAGTAGCGTAATTAAATTTCTATTACTTTTTCTTCAAGGTGACAGTATGCTGTACTAATGTGAGCAAATAATTTTAAGTGCTTCATCTCTTTGGCTAATCCCAACATTTGTTTTGTACCACGCGTATTCAATAATACCGCTTTCTTCAGTAATTCATCAAATCTGTAACAACTCAGTGATCAAATTCAACATTATTTTCAAGTTATTTATATGTAATTCCAATACATTTCATTACTACTACCGTACTGTGGCAGCTGCATGGTACACGATATTTATCTTTTCACAAAGCATCTTTCTATCCTCCGAGGAAATCCCAAGTCCAGGTAACGATACATCTCCGTTTATTACAGTTACTGATTTTTTAAGTGCCTCCGTTCCCCGTTGTTTCTTAACTTTTTCAAAAAGCTGAAATAAATAATTCTTAAATTATATGTAATTAAAAGTGTGACATCAATGGATTCATTTCAATTTTCGAATCCAATTTAGTATTCTATATATTCTATAATATTTAATGAAAAATTAATTTATTAAAATTCAACAAAAAATTTTTGGTACTATTAATTACATATATTTTCGCCACAAGAATTTCATCTGTAATCAATTTCTCGGTAGCTGATGTATACAATTTATTATATATAATTAATCAAATTCTTCAGCCTACGCCGTGTATGATAGAGATGGAGTGTCATATGTACCAATGTGTTAGAAGGGGATACAGAAGCTAGCAATACGAAAGATGTGATATAACAGATGGGACATATGAGAAATAAGAACTTTCACGAGGCATTAAATACGATAATAATGGTAGTAACAACGTTTACTATCTTCTTCTCTATGTTACGAAGCCTTGACCTAGTTTCTGGGATTTTTGTTTCGTAATATCACAAACTAGCTATATTATTCACCGTACCGTAAATTTTATTTCCAAATTTTCCCAAAAAAATTTCAATGATTCACGTTACAATCATTGTGATTGTTTCGCAATTTTGCAAGAAATTTTGAACATGACTTGACGAATGAGTAACTTTTTTTTTGTAAACATGACATAAACAATACGCCAGGCTAAGTACAATATTCCTCATTTTGTCGACTATTACGTCTTTCTTCTTCTGAGTTATTTGCAATTATGTTGCAATAACTAATTACATCAAATTTATTGATTCTTGATAATTCTTATGAACGAAAGAAGAAGTTTTTCTTCTTTCTGGAGGAAATTTATAGAACAATAATGATGTGAGAAACGACAAATAAATTTAATACCATGACGAATTTAATGTCATGTAATACCGTAATGGAAGTCGAGGAAGATTTAAAGATCATGTCAGTCATCTTAGCTTTCTAAATGTATGAAATATCTATATAGATTCTTATAGCCAATCATGTGTAATTTGTGTCTACGTAATATCTTTTCCTTTTCTTGTTCAATATCTTTTTACTTGACAAAAGTTATGAATTGTACAAAGTCTAATACCTTGACATTTCGTTTATTCATAAAATTGTGTTTGAAAAATTTCCCAATCATTTTCGATGAAAAATCAATTTTTTAAATGAAAATGCGTGTATCTAGATAACTTTTATTGCACAATTTATGTTCGTAGTATTTGCATAATTAAACTTTCTCTAAATGTATTCTACCTGACATATGAGATATATGTCGCAACTTGCATTAGAAGTATTCAGCATTAGATATATTGAAACAACTTTAATAGTTTCTAGCAAGAAATAATATAAAAATGAATTTCTACAGAATTGTAGTTAAATATTTATATTCGTGTATTCTTTTCTGATCAGAAAATTATGTCAGGAAGAATTCTTTTAAGTAAAATAATGGGTTACAAGAAACCTGTTCATATATACATATGTGGTTCAATTGCTATTTCTTCAGGCTTATGTAACATCATCCTGTTTAGAGTATACTTCTACATCCGCGCTGACATTTACTCTGTCTAAAATTTTAACCAATTGAGGTTGAAAATTCTAACAAAGGATATTTGTCAGAAATATTTACCGGTGAATTGAATATCTCTTCCAAACGACGCTTTGGATCCTTTTCCTTCTTCGTTCTGATTAACATGTAAATTTGTTCAGTGTTTGGTAGACATCTGAGAAATTTCTCGATGATGACTTTGCCAAGGAAACCAGTGCCACCGGTAATCAAGATGTTCTGCCCTTTGAAAGTTTCCGCTATTCTGTCAGGAATCTCTTCCATTTTTGGCCTCGCCATTATCTCTTATTGTAAGATCACGTACGGCTATATATATTTTTTTAAAAAAAAGGAGAGAAATTATATTTGAAAGAAAATTTCTATACTAAATAAAAAAAATATTCTGGTATCTTCCAACGTATTAGAACATTATACATTACATTGAATATTAAGTTGCGTTTGGGAGAAACAATTTCTACACTAGATTCATGTTAAGACGTAGTAGAAATGAGATATGACACAAATAATATATCAAAAAAATGTAAATCTTACGACGATCATATTTCATATAATTATTTTCGTTTATTAAATTCGACAAACGAAGAAATTTGTCAGAAAGTGGAATGGACACTGAGATTCGTCCTTGGAAATTGCATCAGTCAATTTTAAATTCGCGATAACTTAGTCACGTGACTACTTCCATAAAGCAAATGGCGGAGAACTCGAACAATTTAAATTCGATCTTCGGATAATGACGGCTAGGTAATCAGTATCAAAGAATTGTAGTGTAGCAAGTATTTGCCATGAGGTTAGATGAACTGTTCTATAATAGATTTCTGTCAAATTTAGGCTAGATTTCTGTAAAATTCTTCGACTTTTGCCTAAAAGGAAGTAACGCGATTACACGTTCTTTCGAACATTTCCGTTCATGTGTCATATTTTCAAGTTAATTTATTGACTTAAGTCAACAGGAACTTTCTGGTAAAAAAAACTATTAGACATTTGCATATTTATCATAGATTTATTAACCTATTTTCAAAAAGCACTATAATTACAGGATATTAAGATTAGCGATTAATTATAAAATTGAGGTTAATTTCCGAAGTAATAGATGTAACAAATTTTTTTCAGAATGAATTCTGCATGGAAGAAAGAAAATTACTATTATGTAAATGTTCCAAGGATATTGCAGTGGTTTTTACAACGACATAAATACGTAACAACGTTGACAAAAAAAAAAAAAAAATTCGAACGTATCTCGAGTAAATTATTTCGTAGAAAAGAATTACAGTAAAAGGAAATGGTAAGCGTGTCGTTTCCTTCGTTTCTTCTGATTCTTATTTTGTTGACCTTAGAAAAATGATTCATAGTAAAAACTCGAGAGTTTCTATTTCTTTTTTAATTGAGGAGGTGAGATAATACTTAGAATATTAAAAAATGTATAGAACGTTACTTGAATTTTTTATTATTAACTTTTTATTATTTGAAATATTTTCTGATTCGTTTTGTGCCATTTCTGGCTGTAATTCAATTCCATTCAAATTTTCATACTTTTTGCATACTGAACATTCCATAGTAGTTAGCCTATTTCCTATTTAATAATTAAAAAGGTAATTAATTCTTCATATTGAATAATTTCTGCAAGGTACACAAATTGTTAATTAACATTTGATAAAAAATTTTTAATATTTTCTTTATATTCGATGCTCAATACTGTGTATTAAAATACAAAACATTTAATGT